AGGGATCAGATCTGGGATGGAGAGAGAAGCCCTGGGATTCAGAGAGCACCTCTGGGATGGAGGCAGCAGCACTAGGATGCAGGGAGCAGCTCTGGGATGCAGGGAGCACCTCTGGGATGGAGGCAGCAGCTCTGGGATTCAGGGATCAGCTCTGGGATGGAGAGAGAAGCCCTGGGATTCAGGGATCAGATCTGGGATGCAGGGAGCACCTCTGGGATGGAGATGGAGGCAGCAGCACTAGGATGCAGGGAGCAGCTCTGGAATGCAGGGAGCAGCCCTGCACAGACATGGGCACGGTCTCACCAGCTCCTCATGCATCAGCCGCCTGCAAAGGGGTATTTTTTCTTCCCCAGATTGGAGCTGGCTGGTGGAGCAGCCCCGAGCTTCATCCCCTTGGCTCACCCTGCCCTCTGCTCCCCTTGCTGGGAAAGCAGCAGCAGCTCTTTCCTACTGCTGAGGCAAACCAGGGAGCAGTCCAAGCTTTTTAGCATGAGTGGGTGTTTTTCACACAAAATCTCTAAACCAAGCAGCAATCTTCCCTGTGCATCCCAACTGGAGACATGTTTTTTTTTGGGTTTTTTTTTTCCCTTCAGCAGTTCACAGAGCCCCCAAAAGACATTAAGCTCAGGGTACCTGTTCCTGCAGAACCCCACTCCATACCAACCCATATCAGGGAGTTTTCCTCATGCTCTCTTTTCCTTCCAGGATGCCACAGTTTCCCTCCTTATCCCCAGACCCCCACCCTGGCACATCCCCACACCTTTGCTGAGCCCTGAGCATCCCCAGCACAGCTGCCCTCCCACAGACACCTCCAGACCAAGGCATTCACCAGTCAGGGCTGGAGTTTGCTGCATTGCCAAAAAAATTATAAAAAAATTTACAAAACTTAGTTTCCAAAACAAATAGTGCTTATTTTTGACATTTTATAAAAAAAGATGTTTCTTATTTCTCAGTAATGTCAGCTTTGTTCAAAACAGACTGTAAGCATTCTTTTTAATACTTTGGGACAAATTTAAACCTGCAGTTTTTCTCAAGACAATCTCTTTCCCCACTAACTCAGGGTTAAAGGTCTCTTTTTTGAGTTCCAGGTCAGCCCAAGAGAGCTTTCAGCCCAATATTTCAGATTTCCAGCTAATTCACCACAGCTTTCTGGCACCAGTGGCCACACACTCCTCCACATCCCACATCCCAGGGTTTCACCTTCTGAACAGAGCCTTAGTCTCTGTTCTCATCTACCTGGGCTTGTTCTCACCATCCCTGCATCCCCTTTTCCTGGATTATTTTCCCTCAAGACTCCTTTTTTCATTAAACCATCGTCTCAGGGAGCACCTGGCTAAGAGACACTCTGCACTGGGGTGCTGGAATCCTGGAAGAACGATGGATCCATAAACACCAATTCCCACAGCCTGCCACAGAGCTGGGGCTGGCATCCAAATCCAGCCACAAACCCCTGATCATTCCCTCCCCTCTGGTCTTTTTCCCCTGTTTCCCTCACCCACCTGTTAAAACTCGGTACCACCACATCCCTGTCCATGCACACCCCTCTTATCTGGCATTATTTCCACACAGCAGCACCAGGATGAGCAGGAACAGTTTGGTGCACAAAGCCATATCCACTGTGGATATCTGGAAGGGGTATCCTGACCCAGAGAGGGATGGGAGCCAAGCCCACACTGCCAGGACAAACTTTCTCTGGCTTTTAACCATTATTCCTTCTCCATTTTCTACTCTGCATGAATAAACCATAAGTTTTTAAAAGCTTTTAATTCAACCATATTCCCACATTGTTTGCTGAAGGCATCCCATCTCCTGCATCCTCAGGAAAGCACCAAAGAAAACATGACTAAGGATTTAATTCCTTTAATAAGAGTAAAGTTATGCTGTTTGACCTCTGAAAGAGCTAAATCATCACATGGAGAAAAATCCAGCAAGCAGAGCGTCTCCCTCATCTCCCTCACCCTGGGATGAGGACAGGGATATTTCTGTCCTGAATTTCCCTCTAAATGACACCCCAACAGATGACACCATGCAAATTTATCCTTTGCTTCATGAGTATTTTGGGAAAACAACTGCAAAGAGACATTTGGGATTTCCCAAGGCTGCCAGGCATGTGGCTGCATCCTTCCTGGCCAGCCCAGGACAGGGCCATCTGTCCCCAGGGGAAACTGAGCTGCTCTGGGGCTCAGCTGAACCCTGTGGCTGCAAATCCACACAGCAAGCTCTGAATCTGCCCAAGGCAAAAAGAAATAAAGTTATCTTGGAGGAACTAAAGGAAATGAACAAAGAAATCATTTCTAATTAACAGAAATGTTTGATGGACTCAGAACAAACATGTTGCTCTGCTTTCAAACCCGGAGTTGAAAAGCTATATTTGGGTAAGTTTCAAAACAACACATTCTTACTTTTTATTTTTTTCTCCCACCACACTTCTCCCATTTGCCTTTTTTTTTTTTCCACCTGGCAGTGATTATTACCCAAATCCAGCACACACTGAGCTGCTCTCTTTGCATATATTTTGCCCAATTAGGCTGGCACCCGAATTGCCAAACACAGCTCTAAGGGTGACCTCGGAGCAGACCTTTGGTACCTCGCTGCCTTTACCTTCCCATCTGCAAAATGGGAACAAATGTGCTTTGATCAGCCAAACAAATCCATCACTGCTCACCAGCTCTGCAGGACCAAGCAGACACTGGCCTGTTTCATTTGTTTGATTTCCAAGACACATAATAAAAAGGTGTATAAATATGTATTTAGCTGGTGGAGCTTTTCTGGGATATTTGGGGTTCTTTGCTTTCCGATATCAAGCAGAGAATCTAAAATGCATATTTAAATTTGACAGGCAACCCCAGATCGGAGAGCAGACATTCTGGTCCGCTGGGCACATTTAGACATGATTTTTGTGTGTATTTCCAGAGGTTTTTTTTCCCCAGCTGTCTCAATGCATATTCACATCTGGGACCAGAGTAGTCTCTGGGGGAAATAACACATTTTCAGAGGTTTCCTCGCCCTCTGCTTGCACAGCCGGGGAGAGGGGGCAGAGCAGCGCAGGAGAGGAGGGTGAGGAGCATCCCTGCTCCCACCACGGATGCTCCAACACCAGAGCAGTCTCTACTGGGCTGATCCCATCTGCCAGGGGTGATCCCTACAGAGCCCTGCATCACCTCATGCCACAGATCGTCACTGCCAGAGATCATCAGTGCCACAGATCACCTCATGCCACAGATCACCACTGCCACAGATCACCACTGCCACAGATCACCTCTGCCACAGATCACCATGTGCCACAGATCACCACTGCCACAGATCACCACTGCCACAGATCACCACTGCCACAGATCACCACTGCCACAGATCACCACTGCCACAGATCACCATCTGCCACAGATCATCATTGCCACAGATCACCTCTGCCACAGATCACCATGTGCCACAGATCATCATTGCCACAGATCATCATGTGCCACAGATCACCACTGCCACAGATCACCATTGCCACAGATCACCATGTGCCACAGATCACCACTGCCACAGATCACCACTGCCACAGATCATCATTGCCACAGGTCATCACTGCCACAGATCACCACTGCCACAGGTCATCACTGCCACAGATTACCATGTGCCACAGATCACTTCTGCCACAGATCAGCACATGCCACAGAGCGCTGTCTCCCTGCTCCTCCAGGTCCTGAGGACCATCCTTGCCCTGGCCACCTCCACTCTCCTTCCCAAGCCCAGCATCCTCCACAGAGCATCCCAGCCAGGCCAGTCCCAGGGAACTGGATGGCACCTCTCTGCAGGGCTGGGACTCTGCAAGGAGCCCAGGTGGTGCCTTGTTTGTCTGCTCACACAGGGAGATGGAGGGGAGCAAAGTGGGAGCTCAGGGATGGGCAGGATGGGCAGCAGGAGCTCAGGGATGGGCAGGATGGGCAGCAGGAGCTCAGGGATGGGCAGGATGGGCAGCAGGAACTCAGGGATGGGCAGGATGGGCAGCAGGAGCTCAGGAACGGGCAGGATGGGCAGCAGGAGCTCAGGCGTGGGCAGGATGGGCAGCAGGAGCTCAGGGATGGACAGGATGGGCAGCAGGAGCTCAGGGATGGGCAGGATGGGCAGCAGGAGCTCAGGGATGGGCAGGATGGGCAGCAGGAGCTCAGGGATGGGCAGGATGGGCAGCAGGAGCTCAGGGATGGGCAGGATGGGAAGCAGGGGGCTCCAGGGAAACAGAAAGGCTCCCCAGCCGGCCGTGCCTGTGGGTTTCACCCCCGTGCCCTTTCTGCAGGGCCAGCCCCAGGCAGCCCCCGCAGCCTCCTCCCGCCCCACTCCCTCCTTCCTGTCCCCTCCCTCGGGGTGTGTGTGTGTGCTCTGCTGAATGAAAGGCTACCCTTTTCTCCTTGACATCTTGTTAGAATGTGAATACAACAGCTATTGATTTGCATTTCGTGCAAGGAGAGAGAGAAAAAAAAACTAGCTTTTTTCTTTTTCTTTTTTTTTTAAAAAAAAGACTCGCTGAACTCAGAGCTCCTGCAGGAATAAACAACCTGGATGGGGCTTGGAGCAACCTGGTCTAGTGGGAAGTGTTTCTGCCCATAGCAGGGGGCTGGAATGAGATTAAACCGGCACAAACCATCCCGTGATTCTGTGAATTGAGCATCAATCGCCCCAAGCTCTGCAGGGACCCACAAGGACCCACCTGACCATCCTCCCCAAGTGTCTCTTCATCCCTGCAGCCCTTGCCAAGGGCAAACACTGCCAGTTACACCAGGCTGGGCCAGCAGCACCATCCAGCCCGGGGCAAGGCAAGAACAACTGAGCTGGACACGAGGCAACTAAATGAGCAAGAAAAGCCAGGGGAGAAGCTGGGGCTCGGGAGGAGATGGAGCAAGCAGCACTGCTCACCTCTTGATGGTCCTGGTTTGCAGTGCCATCGGCCAAGCTCCTTCCACGCAGGTCCCCAACCATTGTGTCACCAACTGTCCTGCCACCCTTCCAAGGGGAGAGTGTCCCACTCCTCCAGAGCAGGGCAAGCACACCCAGCAAGCAGGGAAGGAACCGAGGGTGAGAAATGAGGGTGCTGAGGGCAAACTGCGATGCATCACCTCCCCCAGCGGGGTTGCTGGGGGGATTAATTAGTGTTTGTAAAGCACTTTGAAGATAAATGAGACTGTGGGAGAGCTCCCAACCAGGAGAAGGGGGGAGATGGGGATCAGGGTGTGGTTTCTTATCTGGTGTGCAAGCTGCAGCCCCGGCTGGGCCGGTGCCACGCGGGTGCAGATGAAAGGTAGAACAGGAAAATTTCCGCAGCGTGAAAAAAAAAAGAGAAATCATGCGCATGCTGCTTGGGAAAAATGAGTGAGAGAGAGATGAAAAGATGGGATCTAAGTCTCTAAAAGCTGTAGAGACCTGCTATTGATTCTGGCTTGGGAAGAAGGGGCCTGAACAAGAGCTGGTGTGTTGTTAAGTGCACTTATCTCCTCTTGTTAGATGGCAGAACGGGGCCAGATGGACAGGGTCCTAATTCCCGTCAAGAATCATTACCCACCACATGCTGGATGAGGCACCTCCAAAGACGTGCTGTGAGCACTGGAAAACGAGGCAGCACCAGGAGGTCGGGACCCCACAGCGTCTCTGGAAAACCATTCCAGTGCTGGAGCACCACTTCCCTCAAACAGCTTTTCTTACATTTAAAGAGAATTTCTTGCGCTTTGATCGTGCTCGTTGCCCTCTCTGCGAACTCCTGAGAAGTGCCTGGCCCCTGCTCACCCCCAGGTGCTCCCAGCCGTCCCCCAAAACACCCTCCAGAGCACCCCATCTCCTGGGAGGGATCCTCATGGGATGGTGGGAAAAGACAGTGAGGGAGTTTGCTCCCCTCCTCAGCCGTCAGGAGGATGTGCCAGCGCCAGGAGCGATGAAACACAAGATACCCTCACACAGGTCTTTGATCACAGTAATTATCCACTGTTGTCATGTACAAAACATTATCTCCATGCAGGCATCAGCTTCCTTCTGTGCCACCCCCCATCCCCTCACGCCCCACTGCTCCAGGCTCCCCATCCCACCCTCTCCAAAGATGCTCTCGCTAGGACTGGGACAGGATTCCCTTCTCCCAGTCAATGGGTTGAAAGCAAAGAGTTTTTTGTTTGCCTGGCTTTGATCAAAATGACTGAATGTCAGGGAAAAAGCAGGGGGGGAAAGAAAGAAAACAGGGTAGGAATGATGCATCCCTGATCCATAAGCAGGAGACGGTTCAAGGATGAATCCAGGCATCGCTCACTGGCTGCGCGCTTCTAGGGGTTGGGTTTTCTCTTCTTATTATTATTTTTTTTTTTTTTAAGAATGAGAGAGAAAGAAAACATTTTTTTAAGCTTTGCTCCTTTTCATTTTTCTCTGAGTTCAGTGGCTTTCCTCGTCAAGCCTCTGTAGCTCAGGTAAGAACAGAGGGCTCCAGATTAAAGAGCAACACGGCAGCCAAGCAGAAGCCGTCAAGATAACAGAGAGGACAGAGTCAGGAAAGACAAAGGAGGGAAGTCTGCTTTCTGCAAGATCCCCACTCTCAGCTTTTATGTAGATTACTCCAGAAACAGGGATCAAGCTGATCAAGCTGCACATTTCAGACTCCAATCCCAACCCCCTCCACCTGGACGTGGGGTTCCAGGACAGCGATCAGCACCAGGAGCCCTGGTCTCAGCAGCAGGGCTCTGACAGACATTTAATGCAGCCTGGATTTTTATAGATGCCTGGGTGGGTGGACAGACAGACAGCACGCCAGACTGACAGCTCGAAATACCTCTCTGCACGAGCGTGGGTAGCAACCAAGCGTGGAGCTCCTGCCAGAGCATCTCACGTGCCGGCAAAAAACCCAGCCCTGCAGCTCATCCCAGGGCACCCAGGGAGACGGGTTTGGGAGCAAAATTGGTTCCATCACTCCAGATCCCAACAAGAGCCCAGCAGCTGTGTCCTGCAACATGGCCCACCGCAGCTCCTGCAGCCAGGGGATGCAATATTCCCTCTCCTCAGCTTTGCAGCGTCCAGCCCCAGCCCTTCTCCTTGGCACCAGAAGCAATCTGCAGTCTGGGAGAGGATTTGCTCAGAGCCATCCCCGACATGGGAAAGGCAGGCACCCCCCCAGAGCAAAGGCCCAGCAGGGTCCACATCTCCTGTGACAATGACTCCAGCAATGACATTCTCTGAGAGTCCCGAGAGGTTCCCCAGGGAAGCCTTCCCTGCTGGCTTGTTTATAGATCTATTCTTAGCTCGACTTGGACTCATTGCAGAAGCAGCAAGGAGCCTTTCATCCCGTGACCCCAAAGTACCTCAAAGAATATGAGCCGAGCCTTGTGGAGAGGAAATATTGTCCTCTCTGTTTGACAGAGGGGTCAGCCACGTGTGAGGCCAGGCAGACGGGCAGCGGGAGGAGCAGGGAATAGCAAACAGGCAGGAGAGGCTTTGGATGTGCACAGGGCGAGAGGCAGCCCAGGGACACCGTGAGCAAGATGAGCACACGAGGTGCATCTGAAATTGCATGGACTGGGGGGGCTCAAAGGACGGAGAGCAGGGGTAAAACTCCAGCTGGAGAGCCAGGGCTTTGTGCTGCTGCTGCCCAGGGGTGAGGGAGATGCTCCTTCCCTTCCAGCAGGAGCATTCTGGGGGTCTGTCTGCTCCCACAAACACACTGCCCTCTGCTTAAGGCACAGGGAGGTGGGAAATATGTGACCAAAACCCCATTTACAGCAGAGCAGCAGGAGGGAGCCTGGGTGGTCACAACCTCCATGCTAACAGCCCCATTCTTGGGATGCTCCCAGGTGAAGGCCATCCTGGAGGTGGTTGTTGTGAAGAAGCCACTGAACCACCGTGTTCTCACTCTGCCCTTTAATGACAACAACTTTATTTCTTTTCTCTTTTTTTTTTAACCATTCTGGAATGGTGCTCTCCCAGCTGCAGGGCCCTGTCCCAGATGTGTGACAGGAACATCTCCCATTAAAGACAGGAGATGCTCGTTGTTGCGTGGCACCCCTAATTTGGGGAGGCAGAGCAGGTGCTGGGAGAGGGGGCACTGCACCCTCACACAGCACAGAAAGTCTTTTCCATATGCTGCCTGATCAGTTATATCAGTTTCTTAAAATGCTATTGCACAGATATTTCAGAGGCATCCTGTAGGACCATCTGGTATGTTATATATTGCACAGAGCCTGGCCAATTCTGGGATCCTGTAATTTTATCTCCTCCATTTCATATGCGGCGCAGGCATTTTGCAAGGCGACGGGGAATGGGGATTTGTGGAGTGACAGAGCGCATGCAAACCAAAAGGCGAGGCCCAAAACCGAGTGTCACTGGCAGCTCCCGCCCATCCCAGGCACTGGGGAGGAGTTTTGGGGCTGCACAGGGATGTTTGGGGTCACCCAGCTGGCCCCCATTGCCCAGGGCAGAGCTCAGCTCTCTCCATCCCTCCCGCTTCCTCCCTGCCTCCGACAGCAGCGCTGCGGGGTGGAGAGACGCCTCCGGCATCTCACAGATGTCCTTTTCCCTGCCTCCCCCAGCTTTTCCAGGCAGCTCCATGGTCCCCACATTCCCCATGGAAGCGATGAGAGCATGGAGCTGCACTCCAGCACGTCTCCCATGCGAGCCCAGCGTCCTCCCAGGAAGGGATGCTGCAGCTCCGTGCTGGGACCATCCCTGCCATTATTCCTTTTTCCAGGTAGAATGTGTATGTCGACTTCTGGAAGTGCCCAAGGCCAGGTTGGATGGGATTTAGAGCAACCTGGGCTAGTGGAAGGTGTCCCTGCCCATGGCAGGAGGCTGGAATGAGGTGAGATTTAAGGTCCCTTCCAACACAAACCACTCTGTGAGGCCTTGAATTACCGTGTGCCTCGGCCCATCCCAGAGCTCACCAGCAAAACCCTCTCTGCTTTGTGGGCAGAGCAGTGACAAGCCTGGACAAGCAGAAATTCCCAAGCTTTCCCCATGGATAGCTCTGTGCTGCAGGAGCAGGGAAAAGGCCAAAAATAACCCCCGAGATTTTGAGATATTTCAAAAAATAGACTGGAACAGGTGGGCAGAGCAGAAAGGAGAAAGCCCTGTCCTCCCAAAGCAACAAACTTTTGATTTTTAAAGTGAGTGCTCCCAGCTTATCCATCACACACTGACAGCACTTTATCAACTCTTCCTCAACTGACAGCAAAGTTTGGTGCTGCTCCGCTCAATTTCTTCTGATTTCATTAGGAAAAGAGACATTAAAAAGGCAGAAATGTTCTGATTTCCTGTGTTTTGCTGGCTCCCTCCTCTGGCACTTGGAAATATTTTTATTTTGTAATGGGTTTGGCCATGAAGTAATTGGAACTATGTCCTGTGTTCTCCTTGGAGCTGCTCTTCAGAACAAGCAAATCTTGCTCTGACTCATCAGAGCACCTGTTTTTAAAAGCCTTTTGTATCCTTGCTATAATAATAAAAGAATAAAGGGAATTGACCCAAAACAGTTCCCTTGCCATTGTCTAATATTAAAAAAGTCAAACACACTTTGAGAAAAGCACTGTCAAGCATAATTAGCACTTAAGCACATCCATGTCACATTACTTAAGGAAGATGCAAGAACCTCAGAGACAACTCCTTGAGTGTTTCCTGCCCAGAAGGGTCTTCCCCAGACCACCATTAATATAACATCAATGTAAATCTGGAAGTCCCATGGATAATTTCCCCCCAAAGGCACATTTTGTGGCTTTATTTGTTTTTAAACAAAGATATGACCCTCTCCTGTGGAGATGTGGCAGAGACTTCACAATGGTTTTGGTGTCAGGCATGAATTTCTGCTTTCAGTTGCATTTTATTCTTCTCTTAGCTCATTAATAAGTGTTAATACCTTTTGTTTGTGGTATTTAATATTCCCCACAGTACTTCAGTTTTGCTTTTGAAAGGGACACTTCAAAGGCTTTTTAAACATTATTTTGTTATTGTTCATGAAATGGTCCTGACAGAAAACAACATTTCCATTCTGGTTTAAAAGTTGTAAACAACCTTTCCCCTTTCTGAAGGAAAAAAATATGTTTATCCATCTACCAAATCCTAGCCAGTGGAGAGCTACAGGGAGCCTGTTAACTCCAGGAGCTCAAGGTGGGAGGTGTTGGAAAATAATAAATAATAATGCTGCTTTCTCCATCTTTCCTCTAATGTTTAAGGACTCTTGGCACCTCTACCCAGCATATAAAAACAGGTTTCATATTAAAATATGAGCTTGTATTGAGGACATTCACCTTTTTTCCCTGGGTGTGCAACACCTGAATAACCTAATTGAAGGTTCTCTGTTACAGGCCACGTAATTTAAACAGGTAATTAAGAGCAGAAGCAGGTTCTGCTCCCAAAAGGAACTGAGGGTCTCGTGGCAAGCATGTGATTGTCCTCTCCCTTCCCCAAAGGAAAATCTGAGCCCTCCAGAGAGGGGATGAAGTGGGAAAGGAAGGATTTCAGAGAAGGTGGAGTGAAGTGTGACCAGCACAGGGAGGAAACTGCTACTCCAGGGCACAGCAAAATCACCAAAGCCCCTCCAAAGCTGCTCCCTCCTTCCCCAGCACTGAGCCTTTCACAGCTGGAGACTTCCCCTGCCCGTCCATCACTCCCCACACTGCTCTGGAACACTCAGCCAGCTACAGGCTACATAAATATTGACAAGGTGCATTCTTAAATAAATAGCTCTGCTCGAGCAGTCGATATTGACCACT